TAAGACAGACATGGCTTGGCCATTCTGCGTATTTCTGATGTGCAGGTCTACACTAAAGTCATTGCTATCGTTTACAATTATCCTTTGGACAGTGTGAGCCAGTCATGTTCATATGATATGTTACTGCTGACTCTTATTAAACTAGGTTTATAAGGGAATGAGGTAGACAGAAAGACAGGGATCTCTCTCATGTCCAGCTATTTCTTTCCTGAACTACTCAGAGTCCACTTTAAATAAAATCTAATCCAAACTGGGCAAAGTGCATTTAGTGTTCCCTTTTGAAACCTTCCAGAATTCTTAAACTATCAGCTCTTGTGGTTCACTGACTACCTGAATTAAATGTTTTCAACATTCCTGATAATTACGTCAAGGAAGAAATATATATTTCCCAAGAAATTCACATTATAATTTTCTAAGCAAAGTATCACATCCATGGAGCAGTTGTCTGAGACTGAGAGAGACTGAACTGTTACGGATGAGTTTCTAATAGGACCTCCCCAGCAACACAGCAGCTGTAAGGAGAGAGATTATGAAAATGTGATGCTGAGAAACTTCTTCACCAAAGCTAAAAATAAGCTAATATATATTACAAAGAAAAGCACAGAAAAAGAAAATGGGAACTAAGCTCAGAGAAGCACAAATGATGTGATTAGGAAAATGCAGCAAAAGCAGGAGATGTTTCAAATAGCCAGAAATTGTCCAGGTTACTACCCAGTTTCTTTTAGAGAGTGTTTTTAATGGTCATGATCTAGAAGTATTTCTTATAAACTGATATACACTGTATTTTTGGAATGAGATTCTCATGAATTTGCCTTTTAATTACTAATATTTCAGAATAGGAAAAGCAATATCATTGACAAAGTAATTTTCTTCTATTATTGAGAAAGAAATAATCAGATAGACCAGATTAGCATTAGGGATAAAGCAAGAAATAATGCTCTTTGTATTGGATACATTCTGATTTGCAAGTTTTAGGGGTAATATAAAAAAATGAAAGCGACATTCATTAAAAAGAAAACCTTACCCTGTACAGACTAGCTGTCAAATATTAATAGGAAACCTGAATTTTTCTACACATTTCTATTTTTAAGTGCCAAATAAATCCCCCAGAATACTAGTGTATATTAGAGAAAAGATACTCTTCTGCATACAAGACCTATGCCAGTGTCAGTTTTCTGTCTTTTCTACAACACTCTAATTATTGGGAGTGTGGTACAGAAAAAAAAATATTTGGGGAGCTACTTTAGCTGAGGCAGAGCTTAAACATTTAGCTGCCCTGCCTTTGGCTTTTCAGCTGCTCTCAGCCCCTGCTGTCCCTTCTGTCCAGATGGCGAATAGGGTGGGGAGAGGATCCTGCTTAAAATCAGTATGCTGAGGACTTCATCTTCTGGTCATTTTTTCAGCTAGATTTGATTCCTGATCCAGTTCATTGCATGGTTCTGATGATGAGACTGCAGCGTGTAGGGGGAATAACTCCTAATGAGTACAGAGCCCGTAATGTAGCTCTGCTACACAGTAAATGCACGTCAGGCTGTGGCTGGCATTAACAAATGTGTTTCTCTGCTCCTGAGCCAGGGAGAGACAGGCTCCATGAAGGAAATCTCTGCTGGAGACCAATAGATGTGCATTTGCCTTGATGGGAGGGCTTTGGGGAAGTGGTCTGGATGTCGAGGGTGGTGCTCTGAGGTAGATTAGTTCTACAAGCAGGCTGGCAGGTCAGGCAGTTCCTGCAACCTGGAAATAAATGTGGTCTATTCCCTCACTAAGGTACAGCTGGTATTTAACTGAGGGGTTCGAGAGCCCTGAACATCTGTCAGAGAGGGTGAACAGTTGGAACCCAGCTGTGGCCACAGGTGCTCCTACACTTCATGGATTATACTAAATCCTACAATATTCCCTATGAAAAGCACACTGCTTGTAGGTTAACCTCAGACTGTAGCCTAGGTACCTGCTCAGGGAGGGTTTCATTTTATCTTTACACAGAAGCAATAACAAGGAGACATGGAAGCAACCTTAGGTTCTAAATAATTATATTTGCTAAGCATACACAAGGAGCTTGCTGCACTCTCACCAGTGATCTGACTGATTTCTGGCAGCTGCTTTACCCTGATGCACTGAGATCAACGATGGAGTGCTCACAGGATACTTTCAGGGGTTTTCCCTTTTTCCTGTGTGATAAAAATGATGGTAACAATTAGCAATCAGCAAACAGCCGATGGCATGACTGCAGAGGCAGGTAGTTTTTTGAAATACTTTGTGTGGGGAACAGAACAATTTGATTTTGCGTAAGTTCTACTTAAATATTCCTTACATTCAAACATTCCTGGGGGAGAAAAAGCTGTTATATAAGAAAAAGGTTC